CATCACAGTGGTGAAGAAATCTGATGCGTTGTTAAAAAACACCCAGCTCGATGTTGCCATTACCGGAGAACAGGGCTCTGGCAAGTCATCTTTCATCAACGCTATCAGAAGCCTAGCTGACGATGATGAAGGTGCAGCTGAGACCAACGTGATGGATTCAGCAAAGGAGCCAACTCCTTATCCACATCCCAAGCACCCAAATGTCACAATGTGGGACCTGCCTGGGATCGGGACGCCAAATTATCCAGCAAACACATATGTGGAGAAGGTGGATTTTGCTCGCTATGATTTCTTCATCATTATCACAGCAGTGCAGTTCCGAGAGTCAGATGCCAACCTGGCCCAGGAGATACAGAGGATGGGGAAGAAGTTTTACTTTGTCCGCTCCAAGGTGGACATGGACTTGTGCTGTGAAAGAAAAGGAAAAACGAAGGTCAAGGAGGAGACAGTCGTGCAGACAATCAGAAATGATTGCATCAGGAACCTGCAAAAAGCAGGCATCCTTTCCCCACAGGTTTTTCTGGTGTCGAGATGGGACTTTGAGAAGTATGATGCTCCCCAACTTCAGGAGACCTTTTCGAATGAACTCGACACTCACAGGAGACACGCCATCTTTCATGTCCTGCTCAGCACCTCTGAACAACCCTTAAACTGGAAGAAAGAGGCTGTGGAGCAGCAGATCTGGAAGCAAGCCTTTAAGTCAGGCGCTATCGCTACTATTCCTCTCCCGTTTCTCTCTGTTTGGTGGGATGTTGGCATCTTGGTGGATAACATGACCGAGTTCTGTGAGAGCTTTGGCCTGGACGACTATTCCCTCAGAGCCCTTGAAAAGCCCACGGGCAAGTCTGGTGAGCTGAAGACTGTGATAGAATTCCCGCTGGCCAAAGATAGATCAAGAGATCAGGCTTTTGAACTTCTGGAAGAGGCTACAGGGCAGGTTATGATGATAGCTAAGTTTTTCATCAGCATGATTCCAGGGATTGGTACTGTGATAGCAGCAGTGACGTCTTACAGAGTCACGGGCAGATTGCTCTGTACTTTTGTGGCTCGAGTTGCAGAAGATGCTCAGAGAGTCCTGAAAAGGGCTTTGGAGAGAGCAGAAAAAACAGATTAACAACAGCCACAAAAGAGCAACGTACCTGATGGCAGCTGGAGATCAGAGCCAGCTGGTAGGGAGGTGACATTACCCTTCATTCTCAAATACAGTGCTAAAAAGACACTGTCAAAAAAGATCTCCAGAGTTTGGTGTGTTTTAAAAACAAATATTCTTTTCTAATGTAGGGAAATGGGTAAAATTGAGGTAAAGGTCTCTGATCCCACAATTTCTGTTAAACACCCCAAAAGGAAAGTTGAAGGAGACTCAGAACAAATACCATGTAACAAAACTTTGCTCTGTGTTATTTAGTAATAATACCTGACACAGTTTTTAAGACATTCTCCAGTTTTCATTATTTAAGCAGCTGGGGCCACACCCTCATATGGCGTAAAGTTAGTGTAACTTTCACAGATTCATAGCTTCCAAGGTCAAAAGGGACCATTGTGATGATCAAGTCTGATCTCCTGCATAACACAGGCCAGAGAACTGCCCCAGGATAATTACTAGAGCAGATCTCTTAGAGAAACATCCAGTCTTGAGTTAAAAATCTCCAGGGCTGGAGAATCCGCCACAACCCTTGGTAACTTGTTCCAGTGCTTAATCACCCTCACCGTTAAAATATTTTGCTTATTTCCAACTGGACTGACGTCAAGATCTGGCCTTTTACTTTTTGCAGCTCACCGAGTCACTTTCTTTCTTAGGCTCTCATGCGCTCGCACATGTTTGGCTGCCATGTGTGATGTTTGGATGCCACCAAAGCAGGGAAATCTTGAAATCCAAACCAAACTCTTTGCCTTGATTAACGTGCTTCACACAATCTCATGAACCCATTTCTGTAGGGATTAGGGTTTGAAATTTTTGTAAAATGAACCACACCTAAATTTCAGGCCTGAAGTGGCTGAAAATCCATCAATGTTTAAGGCCAGAAGGGACCCTTAGGATCTCCAAGTCTAACCACCTGCATCACAAAGTGTCCCTTTGAGGAAAGTTTAACCTTTCCTGTGAACACAGAGAACAGTGCAGAGCTCCCACTAAATATGGCCCTGACTTGCAGTGAAGTCAAAGGGATTTCCCATGTAAGTGAGCACATACAGAAACTGGACCTAAACAACTAGTCAGTCAATATACTAGTCCAGGAAAGCTATCAGAACAGAGCGACCCCAGATACCTCTCCTGTGATTGGAGTTGTAGTTAGTTGCTTGTTTTTTCACGCTGAGTTTTGGTTTTCCTGGTGTCCAAGAATCACTATCATGGCTCAGGCTAACCTGGGGTGTGTGGATTGTAATCACATTGTGTTGGGCTCAGATGGTGGTTGGCTCATGTCCCGCTACACACCACCCACGACACTACTGATGTGCACCGTATTTCATAGTCCGTAACCAGTGTCTGTCCTGGGGCCGGTCTGCGCTGGGAAGTTACATAGCGTTAGAACACGTGGTAACCAAACGCTCAGGCCCTGATTCCCATTGACATTAAGGACATTTTACAGTGATCTGGCAGTGGGAAGCGGCCAAAGCCTTAGCCCTGGTCTACACTGGGGGTGGGGGGGAATCTAAGATATGCAACTTCAGCTACGAGAATAGCGTAGCTGAAGTCGACGTATCTTAGACTGACTTATCTTGCATACTCACGGCAAGGGGTCGAATGCCGCCGCTCCCCCGTAGACTCCGCTTCTGCCTCTCAGCAGTGGTGGAGTTCCGGAGTCGACGGCAGAGCGATCGGATAAATCGATCCCCGATAGATCGATCACTACCAGCCGATCCGCATTTAGCAGTATGTTCGCTGGATATGATTAACCAACATGATGTTAGGGGTAATCACGTCCCGTTAGTGTGTGTGAAAACATAGCCATTTTCATCATGGTCACAAATAGCTCACATTGGCTAAGTGTTTTTCTGGATCTCTTTGAAGATACCTCACTAGAATTACCTGGACTATCTGGTGAGTCAGTGACTACAAAAAAGCTGAACTTTACAATCCTACTTGCTTGTCGTCAAAAGATTTTGAAAATTGTGGCTGTCTGATTTTACAGCGATCGCTGCTTTTGCAAATGTGATATAAAATGGTTTGGAAATTCTGCTTCCACCTTCTGCATAATTAGAAGGGCAAATACCTGCAGTTTGTGTTACAACAATAAAGCTTCTCTATGGTTAAGCTTCTACCTTGCATTTGATGTGAATCTTCTTGCTGAATTGTTTTCCCAACCTTTATCCACCGTTTTGGTTATTCCACCCTTTTAAATTTACCTGCAAGAAAACTCTGATTTCCCAATTGGAAAGCTTCATTTGGGGATTTTTCCTGCAGGAAATTCCTATTTTTCCAGGCTGCTCCAGGCAGTGGACATTTCTACCCGGCTTGGAAATGGCTTACCTACCAACAACATGGGTACATCACATATGAGGTTGGGGGATGGATACACCAGGGCAAAGGAAAGGGCCTTCTTTAAAGAGGATTTAGTGGTGAAGGTGCTGATGGGCTAGGAAGAAAGCAGGGAACGGGATTGGGGACAGGGTGGATTTGGAAGGACCTTGGGGGTTGGGTAGGGAAGAGGAGAATGGAGGCAGAGGAGAAATGGAGCATGGAGAGAAGCAGGTGCTTCCACCTTCGAATGGAGCCACATCCTTCATTTCACAAACAATAATGGCCCATTCCTTGAACCCCTGGAGATACATTCCCCATGGAGCCCAAGCAGAGAATTTGAACACATGTAAGGGACTTATTGGGTTGGGACAGTATCTCCTGTGCTGCATCCGGTTCCCCCTGCTGCACGGCCACCAGGGAGACCAGAGACCCAGGGGGTTGGCCCACGTCTCAGAAGGGGGTGCCTGCTTCTCCAGCACTATGCCACACACCACGGTAGCCTGCATTAAGGTTTGCAGCCTTGTGCTGGAGCTGCTGATCATGACAATATCCATTTTGTCATCTAGACAACTGATGCTAGAGGTGCTCAGAAAACTGGGATTTCTCCCCTCAGGAGTAGGGTGACCAGAGAGCAAGTGTGAAAAATCGGGACAGGGGTGGGGGGTGATAGGCATCTATAAAGAAAAAAGCCTGAAATATCGGGACTGTCCCTCTAAAATCAGGACATCTGGTCACCCGACTCAGGAGCCCCCTCAATCTCTTTGTACTCCCTCAATATCCCCCCTCGGGAGCCCCCCCCAATCGTCCATCAGAAAACCCCACAAAATAGCCTCCCTCCCCCCCCAGGAGCCTGAAAAATGGTTCCACTCATGGTAGCAAGGCCCCCTGGTGGCTAGGCAGGGCATAGCAGTTGTCTCCCCATATGACACCGCCACCAAAGGTCGCTCCATTGCTTTGGTAGTCTCTCTTCCCACGACCTGGCCTTGCAGCCAGGTGTAACAATGTGGCCTTTGGCGGAGACACTACTAAGAATTTCAATTCAGGACAAATTGCTTAGAACAGGGCAGTCACAGCTGCAGGCTGGGGGTCCTTCACTACTAAGGCACCAAACCAGCCAAGAGAAAGTCAGAGAGGAATTCCATTTTACCCCACTGGCTAACCAGAAGTCATACAAGCAGTTCCCTCAGATACTCCAGGTCCCTTTTATCACCACCAGCACCACTCCTTATGGGGATGAACGGTTGTGAAAACCAATACCCCTGTAAAAGAATAAAGGTTCTCCCGATCCCAAATGACCAAGCCCCAGACCCAGGTCAATGTACAAGTCAGATCTTACCCACAAATCAGGCTGTTGCCAATCCTATAGAATCTAAAATCTAAAGGTTTATTCATAAAAAGAAAGAAATATAGATGAGAATTAAAATTGACTAAATGGAATCAAATACGTACAACAATTGCAAAGTTCTTAGTTCAGGATTGTTTCAGGCTTGATGGGATTACTGCTGATTTAAACCAATCAGGTCTCTGGAGTACAAACATCCGAGCCTGGATGGGTCGTTCAGTCGTTTGTTCAGAGCTTCAGTTTCTAGCAAAGTTCCTCCAGAGGTCAGAAGCAGGATTGAAGACAAAATGGAGGGGTTTCCAGGGTCTTTTATATCCTCTGCCATGTGGAAGGAAACCCCTTTGTTCTTACTGTTGAAAATCACAGCAGCAAGATGGAGTTTGGAGTCACATGGGCAAGTCACATGTCAATACATGACTCTGTTTTCAGGCGCCACCATTGCTCACATGCTACCTTGAATGTTCCCAGGAATACTCCTCAGATGTGGATTGGAGTCTCCCAAGGTCCACTGTCAGTTAAGTGTTTCTTGACTAGGCACTTACTCAGAATAGTCTCTTCTGAAGAAGCTGACCAAATGCTTCACTGATGCTACTTAGAATCAAACACATTGAGATACAAGTACATAGCCAATATTCATAACTTCAAATACAAAAAATGATACACACATACAGATAACATAATCATAACCAGCAAATTACAACCTTATTTGACCTCCTCTGTACAAGATTTGGTGCCACTACAGGACCTTGGTTGCAACAATGATCTATACAATCCCAGTTCATGTCAATAATGTCACACCAGGTCACATTTTATTCCCCCCACTTTCCAACGTAACAGAGAGTGGAACCCAGCTATAGTCCAATGACCTTACAGCGGGTCTCTGTGGTCTGTGGTCTGTACATGCCTTACCTCAGGGGTTTTCCCCCACCTTCCTCAGTGGCTAGAAGTGTTACAGACCAGCCACTTAAAATCTGTAACATTCATGGGAGAAATGAAACTTAGGTCCCAAATCCCACCCCTTTTTACAGGATTGAACCCTTCCGTATCTGTCACCAGGTGTATTTAAAATCAAAACTCACAGGTAAATAAGGTAAACCAGAGAACATTTATTACCTAACACTTTCATAACAAAGATAATAAGTTTTTGGCAGTTACCAAGTCCCTAACAAAGAAATGATAGCAGGAGGAATAAAAGAGGAGAGAATAAAAGAGGTTAAGCAAACTACCTCAGCCGGGCAGAGTGAGTGCGGTACGCTGCCACGAGGGTGGGCAGTGCATGTGGGTAAGTGCTATTCCAGGGCCCAGTCTGTCTCTGCAGTGGTGGGATGGACAGCAGCACCTGGATTGCTTCGCCCGAGCTGTCCTTGAGCCGCACGGCGACCTGACAGCCACTGCTTGGGCTGCCCAGGGCACCCAAAAGGGTGAGGTCTCTCTCTCTCTCTCTCTGTTTCTAGAGAGAATAGACATCATAGGACAACCAAAGCTTCCACAGGGAACTCATGGAAAGCAAGGGAGTGAACTTATTAAAAAAAAGAAAATGAGGTTATTATCCCTACAGCAGGGGAACCCAGGCCCTCCCTGTACTTCCATGCGCCAATCCCGGGACCCTGTCTCTGTTCAGCCAAAGTTTATTCCCACCCAGTATTTTTTAAATTTGTAATATTGCTTTGTGAATGGTGCCCCATTGTCCTGATGCTCTTAGCAGGTATTTTAGGTGCCTGAGCTTCTCACACAAAACCCCACTCTCAGTGTGACGACACTCTGCACTCCCAGAGGATGTGATCATTCATTTCTGTGGCCCGGCCTGTCTCTCACAGTCCATCTCTGGGTGGGTTTATTAATTAAAGCCAAGTTACTGGTTAAGCACAGTGTCTAGTAGAAATTCACAGTAGAGCGACCTCACTCGTTCTCCCGGTTCTTGCAATTTGTCGTTTTCAGTTCTAGGGCAGGCGTCACAAAATCTCCCTCTCCGTTGATTTAGGTTTTTAAACTTTTGTGGACATAGAGGGATGTCTGTGCAATTGTTTTAAAATTTTCAAAGTACTTCCCCCCACACTCTGCCCACCACCCCATTCTGTTCGATTTATCGTCTGTTTAATAGAATTACTGTGTTGAAGATACTGTGGGTGTTTGTGTTATTTCTTGGGAGTCTCCAACTCTCTGGCAAGTAAGTGGGGGTTACCCTGTGGTTAGAATTTTTCTCCCACACTGCCCTAGTGACCCTGCCAGGATGGAGTTAGGGGGTGAGTGGGTGGCAGGTTCTAGTTAGTTAACTGAGTGGGTGGCGGGATCCAGAAGAACCCAGGCCTGTCCATCAAAACCTGTAAGCAGATTGGCATTAAGGGAGGTAATTGGGTGGAGAGGGGGTGCTACACCAGTGTGGGCTGGGGTTCAGGCTGTCTCAATGTTTATTTCCATCTGTGCCAGTTCTGTTGTTAGTAACGATATTTCATTTATATCATTTCTGTTTCCATTTTTTATTGCCAGTACTAGTTGTCAGTGCATCTGACAAGATGATCATGGAGGTGGGTCACACTTCCAGGATCAAAGCTGGGGGTGCTGTGTAAATGTGGGTACCGTCCTGCTGTAGTGGGGGGGGGTCTCCATGGTTACAGTCCTTGTGTGGCAGGATCTGTGTGGTTGCCATGCTGCTAAGGTAGGGATCTCTCTGTGGTTAGAGTCCTCCTTGGAGTGGTTTCCATAGTTAGAGTGGGGCAGGGGCTGGGAGTCAGGACTCTTGGGTTCTATCCCCAGATCCTAGAGGGGAGCGAAGTCTAGTGGCTAGAGGGGGGGGGGGGAGGAGTGGTTGGGAAATGGGACGCCTGGGTTCTGTCCCAGCTCTGAGAAGGGAGTGTGATCAACTGGGCCACAAGGCTGTAAAGCCTGAACACTCTTCTCTCTCCTAGAAGGGTTCCTCCAAGGCAGGTTGGCACAGGGGGGAAGAGGGAGGGGGATGCAGTTTGTTGGTGGAGGAGTTCTACTTAATGCTGTCCCCGCTCTGGGGTCACACAGAGCAACTGGGCTCCAGGAGCTGCCAAACCAGCACCTCCCCCGCCGCCTCCAGTCACTAAAATGCACACAGAGGGAAGGAGCCTCTTATGTAGCTGGAATTTCATTCACGAATCGATTTTCCTGCACTCCGCTGTGTATATTATTGCCACTTTTTAAAGTGCTTTTTTAAGATTTATCCTTGTCTGTGTATTGCCAGATCCCTGCGTTCGAAAACAATAGGACAAAATCGTGAGATAAACAAATAAATGTGTTGGTCTCTAAGGTGCCACAAGTACTCCTGTTCTTTTTGCGGATACAGACTAACAGGGCTGCTACTCTGAAACTAATCAATGTGGGGTTCTTTTCAGATGTTCTCTGGTGCCTTAGCCATTATGGGTAACGTGTTCAAGCTTGTCTCCACAGTTACTTAAAACAAAATTAAAGCTGAGATTCTCACATCATCACCTGACTCCTGGAGCTGGGACTTTAAGGAAAACACCAAACAATGTGAGACTCATCATGAACTCATGGAAACTGGCAATACTGTTGTGTTTATATTTGCATTGTGTGCAAGGAGAAGCGGTTTCTTGTGTCACTCTGAATCAAATAAATGAATAAAATACACTGATCCCCAAATTCATCACTGAATGTAGGAATTGCCAGACTGGATCCAACCAAGGTCCATCTAGTGCAGTCTCCTGTCTCTGATCGTGGGCGGGACCAGATGATCCAGAAGAAGGGTAAGAAACCTACAGTAGTAAATGTGGAATCATCTGCTCCCTGCTACCCGTGCTTTAGTCTCTAATAGTTAGAGATCAGCTTAAACTCCGAAGCTAGAAGTTTAATGCCACCATCAAAATTTTTCATTATGATTCTTTCTGACAACTCTGGCTATTTGTTATATCCAACTAAACATCCAACCCCCTGTGATGCTGCTGTATGGAATATGTTGGGCACTTTATGATATTATTGATACCAATATTATAAATTGAAATGAATCTGACCAGATAGGCCCTGTAAGGTATTTGTGAAAATGTTAAAATAAATATATGGAGCTATACCTATCTCATAGAACTGGAAGGGACCCTGAAAGGTCATCAAGTCCAACCCCCTGCCTGCACTAGCAGGACCAAGTACTGATTTTTGCCCCAGATCCCAAAGCCCCCTCAAGGATTGAACGCACAATCCTGGGTTTGCAGGCCAATGCTCAAACCACTGACCTATCTCTATAATTTGCCAAGTATGATAATCTTGTTTCTATGTCTGTATCACCTTTGTATTGTGAGTTATAGATATGTAGGGTATGTCTGTATTTCCAAACTTGTGCTGTTTTTCTGGGTGACACCCCCTGACAGAGTGGCATCACCACTGCCTAGTCTGTTCAATGGTCCATCAAGGGTCATCAGCTGTACAATGAACCCATTGAAAGGAGCCAGATGATACACCTTAGGAGTCAGCAAGGCATGTAGGGGCAGGCCAGTGGACAGAGAACTCTAAGGCTTTTCCATGCCACGTGCTGTGAAGCTTATGTTTGGGACACAGGAAGCACAAGCCACATGGCAAAAGGAATATAAAGGGCAGCCACATCATCTCCATTTTGTCTTCATCCCTGCTTCTTACCTCTGGAGTGACTTTTCTACAGACTGAAGCTCTGAACAAAGGACTGAAAGAACATCCAAGCTGTGGATCTGTTCTCAGGGGACTTTCAAGCCAGCAACTCACCAATACTACTAAGAACCTGATATATGGACTTTGACTTTTTATGTATGTATCTGATTGCTTTAGCAATTTAACCAACTCTCTTTTTCTTCTTTTCTTTTATAATAAACATTTAGTTTTAGATAATAATGGATTGGCTGCAGAGTGGTATTTTGGGTAAGATCCAAACTAATATTGACCTGATAATGTGGCTGACCCTGTGGTTTTGTATAGTGAGCATAGTTTTTAAATAACTTCTCACTGTACTGGACCTGTTTGATGACTGGGAGCCAGTGAACTGGAATGCAATAAAGCAGGAGGAGGGGTGATTGCTTTTTTAGCATCTGATAACCAGTGTGGGGGATCAGGAGCACTGTGTGTGACCAGTTGGCAAGTCTAATTTCAGTGTTAACCACCAGTTTTTGAGAGAATCTGCTCTCCTTTTTGCAGCCTACCCTGAGCTTGGAATTTTCAGAGAGGGCTGTCCTAGGCATACCAGGTCACACTCTCTTCCCAAGATATAAATATGCAATCCGAATACCCAACCTACAGCAGTTGAGACCAAGCACAGATCCAGTTTATGCCCCTTAATCCAGGTTTTCCCAATAAAGCTCAGATGCACAAAGTGTCAGATCAAATTCTACAGCAGTTTATTGAAGGATAAATGCACTTCTACAAGGTTTGGAATGACCATCAAACGACAAGCGACGAGTACATGGAGCGATGAGTCTGAATCCACACGGGTTACCAGGTATGAAACATTGAGCAAATAAATAGCAACAGTTTGATACATAGCATCACATGAACTAATAGTCATGAGAGACAAACACCCTGTGATTATAATCCCAGCACCTCAGCTCAGTCTGAGGGGGGTCGGAAGTTCCCAGGCAAATCTAAACTCAGCATCAATCAAGCAAATCAGGGATTAAACGTATCAGCAGTAGCTGAAACCGCAGCTCAGGGTTGTCAAATGCAAATGTGGGCTTCTCATTAACTATTAAGCCTCTGATACAGGTTTAGCAGCCGGACACTTCCAAACCCTGCTCAGGGTACATCTTAGTTACAGGGTTAATAATAGCCTCTAGTTTTATCACCACAGCCAGAGAACTGAAACTTTAGCCAACCCCTACGGAGAGGCTGGGTAAATGGATGTATGGAGGAGTAGAACCACAGCTGTGTAAATGGGATTGAATCAACGGAGCTATGTCCCTTCACACCAGCTGGGGATCTGGTCCCAGGAGTTTCTTAGAGTGCATTTCAGGCTACATCTACACTTGGAGCTGGGGGTCCAGGTGGGTTTGTACTCAGGATGGCTAGTCCATACCTCCACTGCCCATGATACCCCAGCTACACTACTGGTTTTAGTGTGTTAGCTCCTTGAGAGCAAGCGTGAGGATGTCTCTGCAAGTTGGGCATCGCGCCCCTAGCTCCAAGTGTAGACAGACTCTGACGGGCTCAGGGCCCTGCATTAAAGCAGCAAGAGCGGACATCTGGGTCGCTGAGCAGGCTACAGCTCCCAGGTTGTTATTGTCTTGCTGCTAAGAATATGGATGTGATGGATTGTGGAAGATTTGAACCAAGTTATATCAGCCATTTTGTGTGTCTGTGTCTGCTATTCACCCTCCATTTTGTGTGTCCGTGTCCACTGTAGACCATCAATTTTGTGTGTCTGTGTCTGGTATACATCATCCATTTTGTGTGTCCGTGTCTGCTATTCACCCTCCATTTTGTGTGTCCGTGTCCACTGTAGACCATCAATTTTGTGTGTCTGTGTCTGGTATACATCATCCATTTTGCATGTCTGTGTCAGCTATACACCATCCATTTTGTTTGCAGGCTTCCATGTTGGATTCTGTTCGCCATTTTGAGGCCTCAGCTCAATCCAGTTTAATCTAGTTTATGCACAGCCTGTTGTGAGGCAATACCGAGACATCTCCGCTGCTGGGAGGGGAGCGTAACACCCCATAGAGCACTAGAACAGAGAGCTGTCAAAATGACAAGCAGGATCTACTGACTTTATAATGACTCTTAACGGTTGGCCCACCCCTATGACACAGTCGGTGTCGGGCGGAGTTTCACAATCGGATCACAGATTGCTGGTTGCTGTCTGTGGATAAGAATTTCCTTTGCTAAAACCTGTGTGTTTTGCTTCCCAGCCACATGTTCCCCAAGAGGTTAAAATATAAGTTCAGCGTTTCCACAGCCTCGCTGAAATTCTAAGGTTGTTTCCATGTTGACATATCTACAGCGATGTAGCTACGATTATATACTGTCTCCATAGTGCAGAAAGACCCGTACATCCAGTACTGTAGCCGCAGTGCCACAGGACAGATGCTTCCTACATTAATGAAAGGGGTTTTCCATTGATGTCAAATCCTCATTTCCAAGAGACAGGAGCTAGGTTGATAAAAGAATTCTTCCATTGATTTAGCCGCATCTACAGCACGGGTTAGTGACATTTTTATACAGCCCTGTGCAACGTGGGTAGGTTGATCTAACAGTCCAATGTAGGCGAGGCCTTAATGGTGCTGAGAATTCACACCTTTGCCCGGTGCTATTAGTGACACAGGTGAGGAGTGTGTGTTTAATATAGTATTTCATCGGACAGTGTCCCCTTTTCCTGTGGGATGATCAGAAATAATAGCAGACGCTGGAAATTCAACCTCAGCTTTGTCTGTTTCCAGCCTTATTAAAAATCATCTTCATTTAACAGAAAAAAACCTAGCTGTTCCCTCCCCTCCACACATCTTAGTCAGTCTCTCTCTCATCTGTCACATTACATGTGAGAAGGAAGGAAACACCACCTCCTCTCTACTCAGATCCAGTCCCCACTTGCCATGGTGTTGGTGTCAGATCTGTTGCTCTTTTGTTCTCTGTCACAGGATATCTGGCCCCTGTGACTGAAGTGGGTCCAAACTCCCCTTCCCTCCCTGTGCTAGAACAGGAGCTCCCAGCTGGGATAATTAAGGGATGGGGCTGCACTGGGGTAATACAGGTCCAAGAGGATATGTCTACACTGCATTGTAACCCTGGGTCTATGGGACCCGAGCTTGTGGACTCACTGTTTCCAAGCCTGCACTTGAGTGTCCACACTGCATTGTAAACCTGAGTTTACAAGTGCTGGATCCAGGTCTCGGGGCTGTGCTAGTGTGTCCACACTGCACTACGCCGAGCTTCTGATTGGGTCTACAGCTTGATGTGTGTCCACACTGCAGAATGACAGGGGTTGGACCTGAGTCACAGTAGGACTTGGGCTCTGACCCACCCCCCAGCAGGGTCCTATGACCCGCTCCCAAGTCAGACTGATTTGAGTGTGGAAGGAACAGAGGTTGAGTCTCAAACCTGAGTCAGAGTCAAGGCTTAGTGCGCAGTGTGGACAGACCCTAGAGAGAACCACTGAGGAGGGACTGGCTGAGAGAGAGGCAGGAATCAGGAGCAGCAGGACTGCCAGAGACCCCTAGAAGTGGAGGCCATGAAAGTCGGCAATGCAAGGGTGATCCAAGAAATGGTTTTGGTTTTTGGTTTGTTTAAGTTTGGGACAATAAAATTACAGAAAAGAGACTCGGGTTGTGGCAGTTTATCCTGGGAATTTGGGGGAAAGCTCTGCCTTGGGACACTGTTATTGGTTATTCTCTGCTCCCTCCAAAGCCTTTTTCAGGACTCGTTGAGCATCTTCTGTAACTTCATCCAAAAACGTATGTAGCATTTCATAGGTGATATTGTAAGATCTCTTTGCTGCTATCCCCGAACCAATCAGTGGTACCACACTGATAAAATATTTAACTGTCATCATACGTTCCCCTGTAGCCTCTCTGAGCCGCTTCAAAGCCTCTTCTCTTGTTATATCTTTGACCAGAGGGGTCTTTATCTCAGACTTCAGCTCATCAACAGACTTCCTAACCTGCTTAGCGAGTGATTTGAGTGAATCATCATCCAGGCCAAAGGACTTGCAATACTGCCTCATGTTTGCCACCAAGATGTTGACATCACACTCAACCGAGAGAAATGGGAGAGGAACAGCAGCGATAAGGCACGACCACAGGGCTTGTTTCCAGATTTGTTCCTGCAGGGTCTTCTGTTTCTCTTCCAAGATTTTTTCAGAGGTGCTGGGCAGGGCACAGATGAGAACGTGTCTCTTGTGAGTGTTGAGGTCATTCGCAAAAGTCTTCTGCAGTTGGGGAGAATCGTACTTGTGAAAGTCCCTTCTCGTCACCAGGAAAACCTGTGGGCAGATGATCCCTGCTTCTTGCAAGTGCCTCATGGAGTTATTTCTGATTGCCTGTAGAGTTTTCTCCTCTGTGAAATCTCTTTTTCCTTGTTCATTAGTCAAGTCGATATCCACCTTGGAGCGGACAAAGTAAAACTTCTTCCCCATCCTCTTGATTTCTTTGGCAAGTTTGGTATCAGCTTCTGTGAAGCGCCCGGCTGCGATGATGATGAAGTCATATTGATCAAGGTTCATGTCTTTTACATATGTTTCTGCTGGATACTTTGGTGATCCAATCCCAGGTAGATCCCACACAATCACATTTGGGTATATGGGATGGGGGTAAGAAGTTTGCTTCTGTGTTGTTTCTACCACCCCAGTCTCAGCTGCGCTTTTGTCATCATCATTCAAGCTTCTTATGGCATTGATGAAAGACGACTTCCCAGAGCCTGTGTTCCCTGTGATGGCGATGTTGAGTTTGGTATTTCTTAGCAACTCATCAGACTTTTTCACCACAGAAATGGCTTTTGACAAGTTCCCAGCTTTGACAGCGGTCTGGAATTCTTCAGATTCCTCCACAGACAGACCGGGAAGTTTACTGCCCCATTTTGAAAACAAATCAGCCCAGTGCGTTTTTGAATCTTCTGTCATCCTGGGAGAAGAGACACAAATTCCAGTCAGGGCTATTTACTATCAGAACTGCACGTGGAACAGGCTGGTCTGAGTGGGAGTAACAGCAGCTGGACAGGGAGCCAGGGCAGAGGGGCGCCAATGACAGACACTGACTGAACTTGGCCTGGAAACCCACAAGCTCCTGTTTGCTGGAATAGAGACTGGAGTGGCGAGGGCGGCCCAGGCACAGAGCCTGAAGAGCCCTGGCTGTCAGTGGGACTGACCCAGAGAGGAACCACAACCACCGTGGCTCACTCTGCACTGTCACAATTTAACTCTATGTACCTAGGGTCTCTGAAGCCTTTCCCTTTCCGGTCAGCCCTAGTAAAAATGATTCCCTCAGCGACATGTCTGAGTGGTTACTGGGACCCACCAGAACTCGCATCGACAAGGCCTAGCTGCAAAAGCACCTACAGTGCTGGAGTTGGAGTCGGGGATCATGTGGCACACTACAGGCGCCCTAGGGGTCTCGTACTTGGGGAAACCACAGTAATTACACTGGTGTCTAAGGTGGGATGCCGGCTGGCAGATTTGGCTTGCAAGGCTTAAGGAGCCGGTACCACAGGTGCGAGGGCTGCTTGTTGGGTGGAAATGACCAACCCTGACAATCAAAGTGTTCCCCTGAGCTCCAAGAGCAGAAATAGTCAGGGCAGTGCAGGTGGAGAGATGTGGCCGCCTGGCTTCATGTCCGGAGCTGATATGGGGGTTGTTCAGGGTTGGGCCGCCTGAATCAACCTGTCTGTGTGAGCTGCCCAAACAAATGGCTGGGGTGAGGCTGCCAAGGTGGATTTCCTTGGCCTGCTGCTCCAAGGCAAAGCCCAGGAGGTATTTGAAAGACTGACACATGGTACCACAGGGAATATGTCTCTGTTAAGGGTGCCCTACAGCAATCTTTGGATTGGACCATAGATCCTGAGTGGAACCAAGTGTAGCAGAGAGATAGAGCCTGGAATACTGGGCTCTGTGCAAGATCTAAGGCCTGAAACAGAGGCTGGGAATCAGGCCATGTATTAAAGGAGATAAGCATCCAGTATAAATTAAAGGAGATATCCTGTCTCCTAGAACTGGAAGGGACCTCAAGAGGTCATCGAGTCAAGTCCAGCCCCCTGCCTTCACTAGCAGGACCAAGTACTGATTTTGCCCTAGATCCCTAAATGGCCTCTTCAAGGATTGGACTAGCAATCCTGGGTTTAGCAGGCGAATGCTCAAACCACTGAGCTATCCCTCCCCCCTTCAATTGAGGCTAGTGTACAATGCAATAGGTGTTTACATAAGTATATTTCAGCTAGTACAGGTACATCCCAATCTAGTACAAGAAAAGGTGTGTTGTGAGCAAGACACGAGAAGTCATTCTTCCCCTCTACTCTGCGTTGGTTAGACCTCAACTGGAGTATTGTGTCCAGTTCTGGGCACCGCCTTTCAAGAAAGATGTGGAGAAATTGGAGAGGGTCCAGAGAAGAGCAACAAGAATGATTAAAGGTCTAGAGAAAATGACCTATGAAGGAAGGCTGAAAGAATTGGATTTGTTTAGTTTGGAAAAGAGAAGACTGAGAGGGGACATGATAGCGGTTTTCAGGTATCTAAAAGGGTGTCATAAGGAGGAGGGAGAAAACTTGTTCACCTTAGCCTCTAAGGATAGAACAAGAAGCAATGGACTTAAACTGCAGCAAGGGAGGTTTAGGTTGGACATTAGGAAAAAGTTCCTAACTGTCAGGGTGGTTAAGCACTGGAATAAACTGCCTAGGGAGGTTGTGGAATCTCCATCTCTGGATATATTTAAGAGTAGGTTAGATAAATGTCTATCAGGGATGGTCTAGACAGTATTTGGTCCTGCCATGAGGGGCAGGGGACTGACTCAATGACCTCTCGAGGTCCCTTCCAATCCTAGAATCTATGAATCTATGAATCTATAAGATGGTTTGGCAAAATAATGAATGGGGAGGTAACAAACGGATGTCAAGAAATATGCATGTAAGGTGGAGTGTAAGTTATGTAGTCCAGTCATTTGTCTCAGCCTATAAATATCAGGTTACCTCCCCTTAACACCTGTGTGCAGCTGAGGGGACGGCAAAATTTCCACTGCTGACTGAGACACTCCTTGCTACTAGGCACTCAGGTGTCAGTGTACCGGTAACCATGGAGCCAGGGTGCTCTGCCTAGGGGGCAATAAACCTGCCAGAGTGCCTTGTCACCGGACCATGCCTGTTGTCTTTTTTTTATGAGTAACATAGTGGTCTGCTGAAGGAGTAGGCTGCCTCATCTGCTGTTAATAGTGATAACACTGGAGCTCCGAGGACCGAAGCACTTCAGCACTTAACAGCACTAAGTAGTACTGTCGAGTTCTACAGAACCAGCTATCCAGTTGACAGCACATGGAAAGAACAAACACACACCAGCCAATTGACAACAACTGCCTCAAACTCAGGGTTCACCCAGTGCATTCTGCTGTCTCTGACAGTGGTCAGGACCGGAGTCTTCAGAGGAAGGTGTAAGAATTTGACAATAGCAGATGTCGGATAACCTGCCCCCCCCCCGGTCTCTAATAGTTAGAGATGGGCTTAAGCCCAGAAGCTGGAAGTTTAACATCTCCACCAACATTTTTGTTAGGGTTAATTATGACATCTGAGTATTCTTGATATCCAACCAATTATCCAACCCCCTTCCCGAGATATAAATATCCAATCCAAATACCCAACCTGCCAGGCTGGAATCCAAGCAGGGATCCAGTTTATGCCCCTTAATCCATGTTTTCCTAAAAGCAATACAGGTCAGATGCACAAAGCATCAGATTAAATTCTACAGCAGTTTATTAAAGGATAAATGTACTTCTACAAACCACAAGCATCGAGCACATGTAGCAGTGAGATGGTAACCAATGTGCATTCAGAATATGGAACATAGAGAAAATCAATAGTGACTACCTGGCATGTGGAATCATATGAACCCCAATCATCATCAGAGCCCAACACCCTGTGATTACAATCCTGGTATCTCAGGTCAGTCTGAGCAGAGTCAGCAGTTCCCAGACACCCAGACAAATGTAAACTCAGCATCAAACCAATCAGTATGTAAATACATCAGCACTAGCTCAAACTGCAGCTCAGGCTGCATCCATACAGTTTGCACTCAGGACAGCTAGCCCATGCCGCTACTGTCCATGCTACCACAGCTACACCACTATATTTAGTGTGCTAGCTCCATAAGAGCGAGCGTGAGGATGTCTCTGCAAGCTGGACATCACGTTGCTAGCTCCAAGTGTAGACAGACTCTGACTTGGGCTCAGGGTCCTGCATTAAAGCAGCAAGAGCTGACATCTGGGTCGCTGAGCAGGCTACAGCTCCCAGGATGTTATTGTCTAACTGCTCAGACTGTGGAAGTGATGGATTGTGGAAGGTCAGACCCAAGTAATGTGAGACATTTTGTGTGTCTGTGTCTGCGATATATCAGACATTTAGTATGTCTGTAACAGCGACACATCAGAAATTTTGTATGTCTGTGTGAGGTGTACACCATTCATTTTGTTCACAAGCATCCATGGTGGATTCTATCCATCATTTTGTAGCCTGGGCTGAAATCCAGTTTAATCTTGTTTATGCACAACCTGTTGTGAGGCAGTATTGAGACATTTCCCCTGCTGGGAGGGGAGCTTAATACCCTGTAGAGCACTGTAACAGAGAGCCATCAAGATGACAAGAAGGGTCTACTGACTTTGTAATGACTCTTCATGGCTGCCCTACCCCTATGAAACAATGGGTATGTACTGAGCCCTGCATGGCTTGGGGACAGAGTTTTGCAAAAGGAGCACATAGTTTCTGGTTGGTGTCTGTGGTTAAGAATTTCCTTTGGAAAGCCTGTTTTGCTTCCCTGCCACATGTTCCCCAAGAGGTTAAAATACAAGTTCAGAGTTTCCACAGCCTCGCTGGAATTCTGACGTTGCTGACAAGCAACATTGGGAGTTCCAGAGGTCCCAGAACAGGTTCTGGAGTTCAGGGCAGGTGGACTGCAGCACCCCACCTCCCAAGAAAAGACGCCAGATAAGAGGTCTGACTCCAGCAATGTGCTTTAGGAGCCCCAGAGCTGAAACCGGTAGACTTGTCCCATATCTGGCACACCCTTGACCAACTTAGCTATCCTGACATAACCCCAGTATACCCGCAGCTACGGCGATGTAGCTACCATCATCCTGCAGCAACGGAAAAACCCGTTCCCTGTGTATGGATGTATCTACTTTTAATGCCAACCTAGCTACAGCAATGTAGCTACACTGATATGCAGTCTCCGTTGTGCAGACAGACCCGAAGGCCATGTCTCCACTCTGGGTGTTCCAGTACTGCAGCTGTAGTGCTTTAGTATAGATGCTTTGTACATCAGCAAAAGGGATTTTCCATTGATGTCATTAATCCTCCTTTCTGAGAGACAGGATCTAGGTTGACGGAAGAATTCTTCCATCATCTAGGCGCATCTACCCCAGGAGTTAGGTCAACCTAACTACAGTGCTCAGCACAGCCCTATGCAACGTATCTGGGTCAATCTAATTGTTAAGCGTAGGCCAGGCCGTAGTGTTGCTGATCATTCACACCTCTGCCTGGTGTTGTTAGTGACACAGGCGAGGATTGTGTGTTTAATATGGTATTTCATCAGACCGTGTCCCCTTAAGCTTTTCCTGGAGGGTGACCAAAAGAAATTGCAGACGGTGGGAATTTGACCTCAGTTTTATCTGGTTCCAGCTTTATTAAAAATAATCTTCATTTAACAGAAAAAAAAGTAGTTGTTCCCTCCTCTACCCAAATCTTAGTCTTTCTCTCTCTTGTCACCTTACATGTGAGGAGGAGGAAATACCACCTCCTCTCTACCCAGATCCAGTCCTCCCTTGCCATGGGGGTGGTGTCAGACGTTTTGCTCTTCTGTCTGTCACAGGGTGACTGGCCCTTATAACTGAAGTAGGTCCAATCCCCTCCCTCCCCGGAGCCAGAACTGGAG